CTTTCTGGTATAATTCCTCTGCGTATTCTTGCCACCTCTTCTTGATGTCTTCTTCTTCTGCTAGGTCCCTACCATTTTTGTACTTTAACATGTCTATCTTTGCAGGAAATGTTCCTTTAATATCTCCAATTTTCCTGAACAGATCTCTGGTGTTTCCCTTTCTATTATTTTCCTCTGTTTCTTTGCACTGTTCATTTAAGAAGGCTTTCTTGTCTCTCCTTGCTATTCTTTGGAAGTCTGTATTACATTTTCTGTAACTTTCCCTATCTCCCTTGCATTTCGTTTCCCTTCTCTTCTCTGCTGTTTGTAAGGCCTCGCTGGACAGCCACTTTGCTTTCTTGCATTTCCTTTTCTTTGGGATGGTTTTTGTTGCTGCCTCCTGTACAATGTTACGAGCTTCTATCCAAAGTTCTCCAGGCACTCTGCCCACCAAATCTAGTTCCTTAAATCTGTTCTTCACTTCCACTATGTACAGTATTCATAAGGGATTTGGTTTAAATTATACCTGACTAGCCCAGTGGCTTTTCCTACTTTCTTCAGTTTAAGCTTGACAGATACATTAGTCACCTAAATGTGATGTATCAGGGAGAAAGACCAGGAAAACTTTGAGGCTTAGTTAGGCTAAGAAAGGTAGCTCTGAGCTAGCACCAGTTAAGGAACAGGAAGTTAGGCTTAGCTAAGCCTCAAAGGTATTTGTAGTATTAGTTGTATTTGTAGCAAAGAAAATGCATCAGTTCCGTCTCTAGAAGTTACCTTTTTTTGAGTTTCCAGTAGCAGTCATGCCAGCTAAGGGATTCAGGGACTTGATGTCTAAAAAATAGCCTTTCGAAATTCTGGTCAGACATAGCAGTAGATCTTCTGATTGCCCCATATGCCTGTTCCTGCTAAATTGATTTGTGGTTTAATAAAATTGCCTTTATAAACCCGGTCAATCCAACACCCTTGATCATCTCTGCCCATATTTGTGTTTGCCTTCTGTCCTCGGGTGCCTTCCGTTATTCTTCCTGACTACAGACATAAAATCTAGTGTTCGTTGTGTCTCTTGCATCTCTCTTGTGGCATAGGCTTCTCTTTTTTTTACTTTTGCTGAGTATATCAGCATTCAGAATAGGGTCTCCCTTTTTCCCCATCAGGAGAGTACAGTATCTTGCATTTAGGTTTGTGGCCCCATCTTCTGGTGGCCATGGTGTACTACTCATCAGGCTTCTCTTTATTTTTTTTCATATTCAGACCCTATATGCTGAGTCTCATAACACAGAGCAGCCTTGGTCTGTCAAATAGATTTGTTAATGGCTAGATTCTCTCTCTGTGAATGTGGGCAAAGATGTCTTCCTTTGGGAATCAGCTAGCACACACCCATTTCCTTTCCTTCAAGATACTGTATGTTGTCTTGGCTCCAAGCCAGGCGATCTGCCACTGAAATCTACAGTTAGTCCATATGAGGGTGAGCTAATGATTATGTACAGATGAGAGGGAGAAATATTTTCCCACATACTAGTGGGTGGTTAATCTTTGTATTGTTAATTAAGGTTAAATGAGGATATTGTTACTATACTGAAATCAAGTATATTGGCATTTTTGTACAGAAAACAAGACAGAGAGTGCTGTCTTGCTGTGTGTGAGTGAAAGGCAAACAGAACATGGGACTTCTTTTTTTTTAAAATGGAAGCTGGAATGTCAATCTGGGTAAACCTTAGCCATTATCCCACATCTCTGTCTGGTTCATCACTTCTAACCTTCAAATATACCCTTACTGTCTTTGAACCTTTTCTGATTTGTATATCAGTTGAAGCCAAAAATCTGATTGCATACCCGGACAGCGTATGTGCCTGTTTCTGGGAGCAGAGTACAATAGGGCAGCTGGTCATGCAGTGTCCATGCAGTTTTCCCACCCGCAGTAGTTCAGGTACTGTCTAGGCCAAGTGCACAACAGTGGCCATTTCTGCAGAGTTTGATGTTTGCTTGGAACTCTCACTGGCCTGTGTATGGTAGATGTGCAGTTAATGAATTACATAGGTAAAGGTAAAGGTTCCTCTTGACAATTTTTGTCCCGTCATGTTCAACTCTAGGGGGTGGTGCTTATCCCCGTTTCCAGGCCATAGAGCCAGCATTTTGTCCGAAGACAATCTTCCGTGGTCACATGGCCAGTGCGACTTAGACATGGAACGCTGTTACCCTCCCACCGAGGTGGTCCCTCTTTATCTACTCGCATTTGCATGCTTTCGAACCGCTAGGTTGGCGGGAGCTGGGACAAGCGATGGGCGCTCACTCCGTCGCGTGGATTCGATCTTACAACTGCTTGGTCTTCTGACCCTGCAGCACAGGCTTCTGCGGTTTAGCCCACAGCGCCACCACGTCCCAATAATGAATTACATGGTGACTCTAATGCAGTGCATTGCAAGTTTCCTCTCTTTGATAAATTCTTTTCACATCTTCTGAGAAGCATCTGCATGGTGGAACTCTTCATATTTGCAAAGAATTTGTGGACATGTTCTGGGACCTCTTGGGCCTCTGTAGTATGAACCAAGGCTGTCTGCTAGAACAGTAGTTCCCAGCCTTGTGTCCCCATGTGTTGCTAGACTCTAGATTTCCAAAGCCCCACTCAAGGTAGTCGGTGGTGAGAGACTCTTAAGAGTTGAAGCCCAACAAGATTTGGTGGAGCCACAGATCGTGGAAGGACCATTAGAGGATTTGTCCAAGGCATTGCTGTACCTGTATGTTGGGAGAAGGGAGCAGCAATTGTGCTGGATAAGTTGTCTTTCAAGAAAGCTTCTTAGCTTTCACTTAGCTTCTTGATAAGGAAACCCACCTTCCAAAAAACAGAAGGGTACCCCAGGAGACAAAGCTGTTTATTTCAAATGGAGCAGTTAGTTATTCTAACCTTTTGGTGGAAATAGGAAATAAAATCTACTTATTGGCAATAAAAATTGCCAGTGAAAACAGTGCCTCAAAATCATTCTCTAAGGCAGTTGCTAAAATCCTGTTGTATAACTTTGCACCTGCATATACAGGATCAGGTGCTGAAAATATTTTGTTTACACTAATTCAAAGCTTCCTATCCCCACCCCCTGCTCCCCATTTGAGGATCCAAGGCTCCCTAGGGCTCCCTTTTGCCCCGAGGAAGCCTTTGGGAGCCTTGGATGGGGGATTGGGAGCCTTTAATGGTAAAAAAAACCCCACTGCTGGTGGAATCAGTTACATTTTTTTGCTACAGGAAGCTTTTAATTAGTGTAAATTAAATCTTCCCGAGACCTGATCTGGGTTACACCAGTACAAGTTTATGCCAACATCATTGTGTCATATAGTCTGTCTTGTTCATTTTACCCATTTGATCTTTCTTATTTTTAACGTTAGGGCAAGTTTTAATCTAGCAGCCTGTGGTGTTGAGGAGGGTATGGTTTCAGCTGATAGTTGTTGCTGTGATCACTTTTATGCCAATAACAGTTTAGTTGCTAAATAGAACTTTTGGCTTTCTCTCAGTTGGTTTGTGTCTTCCTCCCTTCCTCCCTCTTGTGCATTATGGTTCTTAGTATTGCATTTGAAGAAGGAACAGCATGTTGTTCCCTCCATTGTTCCTAAGTGGAAAGGAAATGTGGAGCTCTTAGGCCTAAGATGGGAGCCAGTTTCTGACTCCAAAAACAGCAGACTTAATTGCTAGAGATATTTATTGCAGAAGGTCTGGCACTGTGGTCTTATTCTAAGTGAATAAGGGATAGACAAAGCTGGTAAGAGCTGGAAATTTCAGAAGTTAGTGAAAAGCCTCAGAGCAGAAGTGGTGCAAGCTGTTTTTTAAGCAGGAAAGAGAAGGAGCTGTTGAATACAAAGTTCTGAAGAGGAGCTTGTAAGTGTATTTCGCTGAGTGCCCATAGCCGTGCTGTATGGAAGATTCATTGCAATCCCTTACAGCAAGAGGTGTTGCTCCTGTGAGCTGGCTAGAGTGGAGTCACTCTCTTACGTGATTTTGTATTATCCATTCTGTGCAGACATCTGCAGGAAACATCTAGACCCGTTTTTGTTAAAGAAGAGGGGCTGTTTGGATTGTGACACATGGAGCTACTGTACATTCTGTCAACAGGAGAGTCAGCTATAGTGGAGAATGTGGTGGCCTTTCTGACCCAGATAGTGAGGAGCTGTTGATTGAGACATAATGAATTTGTAGATTTAGTGAATTAATAGTTTTATCTGCATAGGTGACTGTTTTGTATATTCCACTAAAAGCTTTTGATTTTATTTGAGTGCCCATGGTGAACTCCCCTGAATGGGGATCTCAAGTCATGAGAGTCTGGTGAGCTTCCCAGTGGGATGGTGAGCTTACATAAGTGCCTCCACCACATAATTATTTAGGTGAGCAGGTGGGCGTCTGTCTGAGGCATTGATGTCCTTTGGTTTCTGCCTTGTGTTGGGCCAGTCTAAGTCTGCCTGGAAAGGAGCATGACTCTGAAATGTCACGAGCCTGTAGCTTTATTGCTGTTCTTCTCCCTTTTTCAGCATGAGATTGGCTGCTTGCTTTTTCTGCAAAGGGAGATAAGGCCTGATTTGAAGAATTGTGCTTAGTTTCTTCCAAACCCCAGCCTGTGACACCACTGGGGACAACCAACACACGTTTCAACAAGTAGACTGTGTTCTCTGTTTTCAGTACTTGAACCCAAATTTCTAGATGTCTGGGATACTTTCCCCTCAAAGGAAAAAAAACCAAGCTTTTCTTCACTCCCCACCTTCATCAAAGCAAGAGGAGAAATACACCTTATTTGTGATTTCTTCTTCTTCTTCTTCTTCTTCTTCTTCTTCTTCTTCTTCTTCTTCTTCTTCTTCTTCTTCTTCTTCCTCCTCCTCCTCCTCCTCCTCTTCCTCTTCCTCTTCTTCTTCTTCTTCTTCTTCCTCTTCTTCCTTTTCCTCTTCTTCTTTTTGAGACATTAAAACTAAACAGTGCAGCCAATGTAAAGTGAAAAGTTGACACAGGAAAAGAAGGATTTCCTATACCTTCTCCCTTTGCCGAGGTGTTCTGTTGAAAGTTGTGAGCCCTCCCACTTCACCCTGTCTGATTTTGCCTGTCTGTTGCAAGTCAGAATGTACTTGTTCGTCCTTGGGTTGTACATTGAAACATTATGCATCAAAGCCTGAACACAGGCTGCTGCTCTTACTCCCTTTCAGCTGTCACTGCTCTAGTTTGATTTCCTTCTCTTTCCCTTTGTTCCCTCTTCCATTGTCAGTATTTAGATTATAGGTTCTTTATGGCAGCAGGTTGTATTTTTCACTTTTGTCATTTTGTAGAAACAGCACACTAATCACACTGCATATAAATTACAATGATGATAGCTGGAATCCTCATGAAGTATGGGCATCTTTTTTTAGCAAGGGGTGGGGACACAAGAGAAGCAGGTCTAATGCTTTGCATGGAATCTGCAGCTACATGATGCCGTTCTGCTTGGCTTCTTTTGTAGGGGTATCTCCGACTGGGCCTGGTGTTGTAGTAATGCAACTCAATGTACCCAATGGCCCCCAACCACCCCAGAATCCTACAATGGTGCAATGGAACCACTGCAAGTACTATAGTTTGGACCAGCGAGGTCAGAAGCCTGGAGACATCTATAGCCCAGACGCCAGCGCTCAGGTAGAGAAAGTGTGGAGGAGGGGTCTGATGGGAAAGGTCTGCTCTGGATGCAGTTGGTTGCACTCACCCCAGCCTATAACCCATTTTTTCCCTGTTTCCAGGCCAGCAGCACCCAGTTGAACAGCCCCATCACATCCCCTACCCAGTCCCCAACACCATCACCTGTCACGAGTCTCAACAGTGTCTGCACAGGTCTCAGCCCCCTCCCGGTGCTCACGCAGTTCCCCCGGCCGGTGGGCCCAGCACAAGGTAAGGAGGAAGCTGTGGAAGTTTCTTCATGGGCTATAAGGAGATTAAGGCATCAGTGCTACAATGGGGAGAAAAAAAAATCTTATGGTTAGTTGGTTGTTTTATTTCATGTCGTTTATATCCTGTCCTCTCAGTTCAGAGACCCAAGGCAGTTTACAAAATGGAAAGGGAAGGAAAGACTGTCCCCCTCCCCCCACCAAGCACACAAATTGTAATACTAAACAAGCAAAGGCATATTAACTGAAAACAATTTAAACATGAGTGCAAGTGCACGTACATGGGTTTTTAAACAAATAAAACACAGCCACCGATGTTTAAAACGTATATCTCTGCTGTCCATTTAGTTAGCAAAAGCTTGCCTGAAAAAAAAGATCTTTGCTTGCTGATAGGAGGAGAGCAGAGAGGGAGCCAACCTAGCCTCTCATGGAAGAAACTTCCACAGCCTCAGAGCAGCCACTGGAAAGGGCCTTTTGAGTCTTCCCTGGACATGCCCATGAAAGCATGTGAGGAGGGGAGCGAAGAGCCTCCCTTAAAGATCTTAAAAACTATGCAGGTTCATATGGGGGACTCTTATCCTTCAGGTAGCCCTGCTACAAGCCCTGTGTAGATCTTTATAGGTTATAGCCATCCTTTTGATTGAGTCTGGAAATGAAGTGAGTTGCCGCTAGGGGGTTTACAGCATGGGAGTTATATGCTTCTTGTAGCTGGCCACTGTCAGCGGTCTGGCTATGGCAGTTTGGACTAGCTGAAATTTCCCAGCACTCTTCATGTAGACCATATTACAGGAATCCAGGTAGGGTGTAGCTACGTAAAGCATGTGTCCTTATAGTCAGAGCAGATATCTCAAAGAATAGTTACAATAGTTACACTGAAGTCTGAGTGTCCAGGGCCAGAACTGAATTCAGGGGTATGCCGAGTGTATGAATTTTCAGGGAAAGTGTCACATCATCCCCTACTGAATCCCTATTTTCTATCTGCTTTTTAACTGATTGGAAGCACCTCTGTCTTATCTTAATTAAGCTTCAGTTCATTTGTCTTCATCAATTCCATCAGTAACATCAGACACTGATTAAGAACTGAAGCATCTTCCTTGGAGCTAAATGGAAAGGAGACATAGAATTGGGTGTCATTAGCATATTGGTGGAACTGAATCTCAAACTTACAGGCAACCTAGCAGTTTTATGTGTATGTTATATAGTGTAGGAGATAAGATAGAGTTCCCTGAGGGTACCCACGAACTCAGGGCCAGGATCTTGAGTAGTCCAGAGACTTCCCTCTAGGAAGAACTTGAAGACACTGTAAAACAGTCTCTGAGTCCTATTATGGAGAGATGACCCAAAATAATATGCTGGTTAAAAGCCATTCAGAGATCCAGCAGCCTCTGACACAAGGAATAAGAGCAGCATGGGCTCCAAGCCTATCCTTTAAGTCAGTGTTTCCCAACCTTGGGTCCCCTGATGGGCTTGGACTGCAACTCCCAGAAAGTCTGGGCGGCACAGCTGTGGGAGTTTTAATTCAAGAACATCTGGAAGCCCAAGGTAGGGAACCACTGTGTTAAGCTTTTACAGATTTGGTGTTGTAATAGCCAGCAAATTGCTTTTAAGCTTTTACCGATTTGGTGTTGTAATAGCCAGCAAATTGCACTGTTGAGTTGTGGCATTTCCTTTGAAAGTCCAGTGTCTTGTACACTCTGAGACATAAACACCAACTTCTGAAAAAATTATCTAGACAGGTGTAAAATTAGTTCTCTATTGTTAAAGAACATGCCTCAGAATACTATTGCACCAGTAGCAGTGCAACCCCTTGTCCATGTGCTTATGCAGGAGAATGAAGATCTCTCTGATGTAAAGAACAATGAAAATGTTTCAGGTTCTGTCCCCTTTTGTGAATTCCAGCTTAACAAGATAGAAATGATAGTCAAGGACCACTGTGATTTTTGATACCTCTTTTGTTCTGTTTTTTTTTCTGTAGGTGATGGGCGCTATTCCTTGTTGGGCCAGCCACTGCAGTACAATCTCTCTATTTGCCCCCCACCTATGTTGCACAACCAGTCCAGCTATACAGCACACCAGGTTAGTCTGATCAAGCCCTTGATGAAGGGAAACTTTGCCCTATTTAAAACTGAGGTTGAGGCTGCAAAGGGCTTGGCAATTGCAAAAACGTGAAATGAAATGAGAATGGAGATGACATCCAGTTTTAATGTTTAAGTTTTGGAAGTTGGGCTTTAAAGGGCTGATATTTTCCTAATGCAAGAATTGTCACTCTTAGTGGCTCCCAGGAGTGGAAAAGCAACTTTTAAAGACAAAACATTTTTTGTTGCACAAAGGGCAAATGGATCCAGAGGATGCAATAATTGCCTTTTCATGGGCCAGCCTGCTGCATGTTGCCCAGTCCAACTTTATAGGTAGGGTAAGTAGTTCAATCTTTGCTGCTGCTTCAGAATGCTGACTTTCAAAGCCCTAGCAGCTATGCTCACAGCCCCTGTCCCAGAACTCTCCACCTTCACCATCTTCATCCAGGAGTGCAGATGCAATAGTCAGCCAAAAACTTCTCTTGAGAATTCGACTTCATGCTGCTTCCTAGAAAGGCACCTGTAGGATCAGAAGGTTTTGAACATGGTTCTGATCTTGATCAGTCAGCCTAATATATGCAATAAGAAAAGATGCTGATGTGGTGGAGTGGACTGAGATCCAGAAATCTTACTACATAATCTTTTTAATTATAATAATGATGATGATGGTGGCAGAATGCCATCAAGTCAATTCTTATGGTGATCCTTTTCAGGGTTCTCCAGGTAGAGAATACTCAGAAGTGGTTAACCATCCCTTGGGACTGTGCAGCTTGCCCAAGGCCACACAGGCTGTCTCTTCTAGGTTACACAATGGGGACCTGAACATCCAACCTCTGGATCCACAACCAGATATCTAACTCATCCAGCCATCCTTTTACTCTCATTTTGTTTATGTATTTCTGTGTGTATTTAAAGTTGTTTTAGGCTGTTTTTAAGGATAGAATTTTCAAGGATGGACTTGCCGCTTCATCTTTCAATATCAAGTGATCATACTAACCTGTGCGGTAGAGACTTAGGGACTGCAAAGCTGATCCATGTGAACTGCTTCCCACTTTGAAGTGCACTGTCTTACTTAATTCTCCAGATGAGCTGAAACCGGTTCCCTAAAACTCGAACACTGAGTTGTTGAGAATCTTGTGGTTGCCACTTTCTTGCCCAATTCACAATTATGTGCCATTTTTCACCTCTTAGCCAACTGAATAGTCTCTCTATTCCCCACTTCTCTCTAGGATTTTGTGCTGCTCTGGATTCTCCAGTAACACCTTAGCAGTCTACTTACTTTCTCTGTCTCTGATGGGCATGTGCTCACAGGCAGCCTGTAGAAATATAGGCATAGAGTTTTCGAATTCTGATCAAATGCCCAGAAGCTCCTTTCCGTTTGGACTATGTACAGGGATGCATATGCAACATTTGCTGCTAATGTATTATTTAGTTCCAGAATGATAGCAGTCTTTCCCAAGTGTGAACACCTTCCACATATTCTGAACTAGGACTCCCATCATTCTTGATTATTATGGCTTTGGTTTGGTTACAACAGATATCACTGAGGGAAGTTGAGAAGACCAACCCAGGTGAAATCACAGGACTGTTGTGAACAACAAAGAAGGATTAAAACAGAACATTGATGTTTAATGTGAAAGATCTCCATATCCTTCTAATCTGCTGTATTTTAATTTTTTCCATTGATTATCCTTTATATCTCACCTTTATTCTGTGGTAAAACTTAGAGAAGTGTATTTCAGGCTTCTGGTCATAATCTAATATTTAAGCAGGGTTTCTGTTTCAGAGCTGTATTGCCTTCTTTATCAGAATATGAGTGACTGGTCTTTCCAAAGCCATGCCTTCATTCCCAAAATGGGTTCCAAACATCAAAATTGAACAGATTAAAATCCCACAAATGCCCCGCAGGCAAACATGGAAGTGCCCTGTGCTGTCATTCTGTTGCTCTTCCATTACAGGGACAGGCAGGAATGAAGCATGGCAATCGAAACAAGAAGCAGGCTCTCAAGTCAGCATCTACGGACCTTGGGACAAGTGACGTAGGCAAGTAACAAACACTTACGTACCTTGGCACCTAACAAGTTCATTCATGTCAAATTCTTACATAGCATCTGTTACATACAGCACTGATGTTACCTGTCTATCATGGGTTTGGAGGGAAAGTTCCATCCTATGGGGAGTGGAAGGCGGGACATCAGGAGGAGGGGCTGTACTGTATAAATATGTGGAGTGTGTGTGAAGA